ATCTCTTAACCAGCATTAAGTAATTATTAAATGTGGGGCCAGCAAGGAGAATTAATTGATAACTTAATCCACAGATGCAAGATAAAATATATGTAACTTACTTACGATATGTTGTGTGTCAATATCATTAATGATGAAACAAAACAAGACAAAACAAAGTTAACATACTTTGTGCACTGTTTGTTAAAGGGCCACCATGAAATATAACCTGAAAATATAAACAAATTGCTCTAAGAAAAATGCTTATCTCCATTTTCATGAATGCCTTTGTATCAGGCTCCTACATGTACATGGTAAAAGTCTGCATATGAGCCAAGTGGCCCATCAGACCAGAGCTTATCTTGGTTTTTGTTGCATGAAGTGACTAGGGGTATTTCTACTCCCCCACTGGATGGGGGCAACCCCCCAGCATTAAATTCACCAGTACCCATTCAAACACCTTAGTGAGGAGAGGCACTGTGGGAGTAAAGTGTCTTAACCAGGAACACAACGCAACAATCCCGGCCAAGGCTTGAACCTGGACTGTTCAATCTGATATACAGTCTTCTACATGTACACAGACAATGATTGATTTCATTGTGTTCTCTGGGCAGCAAGAAAGTCTTTTTTTGGACCTGCTAAATGACCTGCAAGGATTGTGCAAAACAAATGTGCTGTTTTCTACAAATCAGCAGCTGAAACCAAAGTTGCCTGCTGCTTATTTTCCTGCATAAGGAAATATTACATTTTAATTTAATAGTTTCATCACAATCTTTGCTTTTAATTAGCTGTAATTGACCAAGGATGTCATAAGTTTGATTTGGATTGGGTTTCAGGATGGTCTCTGGATTGTTTTCTCAACATTCCAAACAAGAATTAAATATACAGTGTCGTACATGTAGTCAGCTGTACTTAACGGTTTCAGTCTACAGTAGCTACTCCAGGGTCAACCATCTACTTGCAAGGTTAAGATTATTTCAAGAACTGTTCTAAATGCAAATATAATATTAAANATCTCTTAACCAGCATTAAGTAATTATTAAATGTGGGGCCAGCAAGGAGAATTAATTGATAACTTAATCCACAGATGCAAGATAAAATATATGTAACTTACTTACGATATGTTGTGTGTCAATATCATTAATGATGAAACAAAACAAGACAAAACAAAGTTAACATACTTTGTGCACTGTTTGTTAAAGGGCCACCATGAAATATAACCTGAAAATATAAACAAATTGCTCTAAGAAAAATGCTTATCTCCATTTTCATGAATGCCTTTGTATCAGGCTCCTACATGTACATGGTAAAAGTCTGCATATGAGCCAAGTGGCCCATCAGACCAGAGCTTATCTTGGTTTTTGTTGCATGAAGTGACTAGGGGTATTTCTACTCCCCCCCTGGATGGGGGTAACCCCCAGAACTAAATTCACCAGCACCCATTCAAACACCTTGGTGAGGAGAGGCACTGTGGGAGTAAAGTGTCTTAACCAGGAACACAACGCAACAATCCCGGCCAAGGCTTGAACCTGGACAGCTCGATCTGATACACAGCCTCCTACATGTACACAGACAATGATCGATTTCATTGTGTTCTCAGGGTAGCAAGAAAGTCTTTTTTTTGGACCTGCTAAATTGCCTGCAAGGATTGTGCAAAACAAATGTGCTGTTTTCAACAAATCAGCAGCTGAAACCAAATTTGCCTGCTGTTCATTTTCCTGCATAAGGAAATATTACATTTTAATTTAATAGTTTCATCACAATCTTTACTTTAGCTGTCATTGACCAAGGATGTCATAAGTTTGATTTGGATTGGGTTTTAGGATAGTCTCTGGATTGTTTCCTCAACATTCCAAACAAGAATTAAATATACAGTGTTGTACATGTAGTCAGCTGTACTTAACAGTTTCAGTCTACAGTAGCTACTCCAGGGTCAACCATCTACTTGCAAGGTTAAGATTATTTCAAGAACTGTTCTAAATGCAAATATAATATTAAAAACATAAATATCTTAATTAACCAGTCGCCCAATGGTGACTATTCTGGGCAAATGAACATGAATTTTATAACATGGTGTTAATAAACCAAACTGGCAGGAGGCAGACCAGTTAAGTATTCTTCTTGTTGTTGTAGACTATTTACAAGTGTGGCAGAGGAGTTGAACTCGGGACTACTGAGAACAACACCAGCTAGTGGTCAGAATTGGGCTAAATCCGCCATCTGTAGACTATTTACAAGTGTGGCAGAGGAGTTGACCTCGGGACTACTGAGAACACCACCAGCTAGTGGTCAGAATTGGGCTAAATCCGCCATCTGCAGGTTTCAAGTCTGGCACCCTAATGGTAAACACTTGGCCATGTTGCCTCCAATATATGTCGGGCACATCCCAAAGAAAAATTTTAGTCCCCATTTTTTTTTTTTTTTCCAATTCAAGGCTAAAAGTCTGATGGACAGCTCACTAGTTAATACATGTAATAGACCAATTTCAATATATCAAAGTTCAGCCAAAAACAATGGACCTCAGTATGAGGCTCTGGGAAATAACGACTGAGTTCCTGGGGTTTATTCCCCAGAGCCTCATGCTGAGGTCTATTGCTTTAGGCTGAGTTTTAATATATCAAAATTGGTCTATTAGGCTATCATGTCTCTTCAAAGAATTTTTCTTAAACACAGCTTACCTGCTTGTCCTCGGTATCTAAGACCAGATTGTGGTCTTTGAAAGTTCCAGCTTGATTCTTGTACAAAGTTACAGAGTTCATATCACTTGAACAAGTAAAACGAAGATTTCCCGTCTTGAAAAATGATAAGCACTTCATTCCACCCTTGTTTATTTGCAGGACATTATACAAGATGGCAAGCATCTGTGAAAAGAATGATAAAAAAATACTTATACTAAGTTGTACAATGTCAAAAAAATTAAATTTTTTTTTAAGGTAGAAAAAATCCCAGACAGTTGAGAGTTTCAATGCTCCCTAACTTTCCTGACCATTCCTGTCTTATGAAAACATGACAAATGATGTAAATGTTACCTAACTGGAGGTACATAGGGAAACAGAAAATGTCTGTTAACTATTTTTGCAACATTTGCATCCCAGATATATCTGCAATGGTTGAAAACAAGAGCTTAATAATTTTATGAAAACATAAATTGTAATGGTCTTGGATGTCAGCCCAGAAGGTCAGAACTTTTCAGGCCAGAACTTCAGAGATCTAAACACCTTTGAGACACTAATTTGAAATCACTGTTTCAAATTT